CTATTATAGTTTCATGGTTTTTAATTATAATGTTAATAAGTTTATTACTTATGACGTTAACGTTAAGGAAATTTCATTTCTCGTTATCGTTTATAAATATTATGTTAATGTTAATCTTGTACATACGTTAGGATATAATATGTATTAATGACAATTCCATTTGATAGGGCTAAACCTTGTTAACTTACGTTAAATGTAACATAACGTGTGAATAAATAAAATTTCATCTCGTTATCGTATATTATATTAATTATGTTAACACGCTAATGAAAACCTTTTAAATATGTTAGAAGGATCGTATGACTAAAATTTATTACTACTTATGTTAAATAATACGTAAATGAAAAATTTCATTTAATTATAATATAAAACTATCTATTTTTATATTTACTATGCGAATATATAAAATAAAATTGCACATTTTTTGTTATCTTCCTCAAATATATGACGTTAAATGTTAATTAATTAAAAACCGTCTACGTTAATCAAAATTATATTTAATACATATCCGTATATATATATATATATATATATATATATATATATACTGTGTATAAAATAAAATAAATGATTAAGAAAAAAGAATTGTATAACGAGATGTGAAGTATCGAAATTAAAAAGAAAAATAAATTAGATGAATTTAAATATAAATTATAATATATCGTTAATCGAGAAATGGAAGGATAAATTTGCGTTGACGATTGTCAAAATTCAGGATGATTCGAATTTCGTTTAGGTTTGTTAATCCACAATGTTCCTACGGATATGTATGTCTTCTTTTTCTTGTTCTCTTCACTTCGTCATACTTGTCGAATCGTTCACGAGTACGTTCACCTCGCAAGGCCAATTGCCTTGTGCATTACGTCGTCGTTCGCCCGTTACCCCCTTCCCCCCTTACCCCACTCGTTTGCTTGCCCCCTTTTAGGTTCGTCGTCGTCGTCGTCGTCGTCGTCGTTGTCGTCGTCATCGTCGTCAGACATTTCATTCTAAACGATTTCGTATAAATAACGGACGTGTTCTTTTCCTGAATGTATGCTTACGTTTTGATTCATTCTATAACGCCCACTCAAAAATGCAATACTCGGTGTGTTACTAACGTAATCGAAATGATTTAAAAATCAATTTTCTTAGTCATTATATACTTCAATTTTCTTATATATTTTGTTTCGAATTGTTTTTATTGTAATTCGAATAAAATGATTTTATATAATATGGAAAAATGGAAATATAATTAATATTGATTAATAATATTTAATATTATTTTATCTCGTAGTGATATTTTTCTTTTTTTTTCGTACGCATTAATGCATGTGTGTATATGTGTTTGTTAGTATAACGATATGAAGAAATGTGTAATTCACAAGTCATTTTAATTGTTTTAATATATATTCATTGTAAATGTTATTGAGAGAGTTCATTCATGATTTAATGTGAATTATGTTGAATAATGGCGATTTCAAATTGTTCATCCAAATGGTCACAGTTTCTAAACTGCATTTTTTGTTTTCTTTTTTGGGAAACACATTCAACCTAAAAGTGTCTAATAATTTTGTTAAAACGACAACAGGATCAAGCACAATAATCGATGAACTATTCCAAAGATATCTTGATAGAATAGAAACCAATGTGTGTAAGGTTTTTGTATTTATATTTTAATTACCATAAGCCATTAGTATCCTGTTTTAGAAATAGAAGAAAAAATGGAAACTGAATAAACAGTATTATAAATACTGTTGAGAATATTATCAATGAAAGCAGTAAATTATTTAATTTTCTTTATTTTATTTCAAATTTCTTTCTCTCCTTCTCATAATCAGTCACATTATTTCGCAATAAATATATGAATCAATTGATTATTTTTTACATGATAATACGAATTTCTATACTCAGGTCATCGATACCTGACACTGACCCTTGCCACTACCCTTCAACGCGTTTGGTTACAAAGAATGGTGGTCCCATCTGCATTAGTTTCTTTGGTATCTCAAAATAAATAAATTAACCTGTTACGTTAGAACGAAAGTGAAAGAATTATTCTTTGAAAATATCTCACTATTTTTATTTTCCATTCTAATTCACACGAAGCAACGAATCCGAATAAAATGAATTATTTTCTTCTCAAACTGAAAACGATAACGTTACCAATTACTTAAACCCGCATATTAAAATATAATATGTAATAAAACAAAAAAAGAGAAAAAAAAAATAAAACATTATATCTCTTTTCTTGCAACTTTTTTTTTATTACAAAATAAAAACATATAATAGTCTTAGAGACAGACTGTTTTTTCCTGTCGAAGGAAAAAAAAAATTTAACAAAAAAAAGAATAAGAAAAATACACAATATAAAAAGAGACAATGTACGTCATGAAAAGTACTTATTATCGTTGCTAATTAGTATTCGTTTTAACATGAACATATAAGTGTCGTATACAAGTTAATCATTTATCATTTATATCGATAAACTTATTAACGGATTGAGTATCGCGATTATTGTACCAATGGAAACAACAAAATTCGTGACTGAACATGAGAAGGGAAAATAATAAATGGGGACAATTTTGAGCATCTTTCAGGCGTATACTGGGTGTACGTATTATCAGGGATCATAATAAAATATATACAGAAAATATACGAACAAATAAATATTATAATATCATTAATATCGTGAGATAAACTTATTATTCGATTGAGTATCGTGATTCGTATTAATGTAAAAAAAAAAGAAAAAGAAAAAGAAAAATAATAAAAAAAGAGAAAATAACTGTGAGTGTAAAAAATGTTGAGCATCTTTCAGGCGTATAAAATGAAAGGGTGTAGCATGTATATCAGTGGCATAATATATAATATATAGAGAATGTACGGAGACAGCTGCGAGACGTGGCATACGTAAAACTACTTGGTACATAACTGTACGTCCTGTCGACTGGTCAAGGACGTACTTTTTAACGACGAGACAGAAGCTTACAGCAGCCTCCAACGAGAGATTTTAGCACATCACCGATAACGTAACGTCACGCACGCGTTCAACGTTGTACGTACAAGTCCGGATTTCATCCTTCTTCTTCTTCTTCTTTTTCTTCTTGATCTCTTTTTTTCATTCTTTCATTCTTTATCTTTTTTCTGGATTTTTTCTTATCTTTTTTTTTTCGTTCGGCCTTCCTTCCACGTTAAAAAGAGTGTCTTTAAGTTCCATAAATGTAATAGAAACGAAGACGTTCACGGAAATCATTGCGAAAATTCAACGAGTCATCGTGCATTTTATCGACAAAATTTTTATGAATTTTATGTAACCTTCCTTTAAGAAATATTTTATCTATTTATAATATGTTTGTTAATTAATAATATCGTATCTTTGTATCCTTTGATAAATTTGATTTCTTTTATAAATCGTACAAAATTGATTGATGTTTATTTTGATTGATAAAGGAATAATATTATAATATGAAATATATATAAAAAAAGGATAATAATATTAATAATAATTGAATAAAGTATTTGTTGTTGTTGTTGTTGTTGTTATATATTGTGAGAATCGAACTGTATCATCGTAGTGCACATTATTTGTGCATTAAAAAGATTGGATACTTTTAATACCGACGTTTCTCGAAGAATTAAATTAACAGAGAAATTGAACAATTATAATATGATGTTACGTAAAAATAATATATTCTCTTTATTTTAATAATTATATATGTGTATTACTTTGTTTATATGTTTATTCTCATATGAATTGCTAATTATACTCGACGTATATTAGTTTGTACTCGAACTGCATTAATAATTGATTTCTTTTTTTTTTCTTCTTCTTCTTCTACGAAACGAAGTACGAACAAACGTTCAAAGTTTATTATAAATAAGTAAACGAAAGAAGGATAAAAAATAAAAGGAGGAAGAAGAATAAGTAGAAGAAGAAGAAAAAAAAAAAGTAGAGAAAAAACATAACAAGTTTGTTAGGATTAAAACGATCGGATGTTTTTAACGACGAATGCATTGTGCATGACAAAAGGAAAAAAATAGATGCATATCTTTATCGAGTTTCTTAAGAATAGAAGAAACATTTATATATACTTACGTAAGTTACTCGTATAATTTTTACGCGTTCAATATTATTTACTTTCTTTTTCTTTTTTTTATTTCTTATTTTTTTCCCGTTGGGGTAGAATCGATCGAGACCGAAAAAAGAAAAATTAAAAAAAAAAAACAAACCAAATCTTATTCGTATGTTATTATTGTGAATAATATCACGAAATAATTAACGAAATTTTTATATATACTTACGAATAAATTGTATTCGTATTTTCGTTTTGATGTGCGGGGGTGAAAAAGAAAACAAATAAATAAACTCTGTGGTTTTTTCTTCGGATAGGAAAATTTTTCCTTTCGTTCTTTTTTTTCTTTTTCATTGAACGTATGAAAAAAAAAAAGAAAGAAAAAAAAAAAAGATGTCTCCAGCATTGGTCGCGGCATAACGGCGCCTCTCGTTTTGACGCGTTTTGAGTTACGTAAAGAAGACTTGGACTTCATTTACATCGTCGTCGATATCGTTAGTACGATCGTTTTTGAATAATACGGGATTTGATCGGAGATCGCGTTGTCATGTTAAACAAAACGTCATCGTTAACGAAACCAACTATTAAAAACTTATTTCGGTAGTCAACCTAATTTCCTTCCTACTCGTGATAGAATAAAACAAAACAAATAAAAAGAAAAGAAAAATTAAAATAACGAAATTGGAAAATTATTTTAGAAAAATAATTTGCTTATGTTAAATATAGATATGTTCGAAATAAAATAAAAAAATAAATAAGAGGGTTGTTTCGTTGTGTAAGAGTATCTTAATAAGATTTTCTTTAAAACAAATTACTCGTGATAGAATAAATCCAAAAAACAAAAGAAACAAAAAAAGTAATAGAACGAAATTTGAAAATTATTTTAGAAAAATAATTTGTTTAGAAAGGGGTTTTTTAAACATATCATACTTGGTAACATCTTCTTAGAAACTACGTGTATTTCGATGTCGTATAAACACAGTCGGTTTTATTCCAGTAAAAATAAATCCAAGGGAGCACGAACTCGTACGCGAGACAACACCGTGGTACTGATTAGTTGATTTACTTAAACTTTCTTGTCGTAGAGATAGTAGTCGGATTGGTGTTAGTAGTAGTAGTAGTAGTAGTAATGGTGGTAATGCTAATGGTAGTAATGGTGGTTGTGTGTTAGTGTTGTTATTGTCAGCCGTCATCGTGTCCAGCGAACGGCCTTTTCTGCAACTAGGCTAAGGCCATGTGCATCGTTGTATTCGACGTGCTGTTTCTACCACACCGTCCTAGAATCTCTCTCGAGTATTCTAGAAAAAGGCCTAGATACTTTTTCTTTTTCCATTCACGTATATATGTATATAGTATATTATATATATATATATATAATACGTATGATATGTTTATATGTATGTATATGTATATATACATATACATACATATAACTATATATATAACTGTATACATATATACAATTTGTATAATATGTGTATATGTAATATATATGTATATTACATATATATATATATATATATATATACTGATTGTGAGTATATACCTTCTTCGTACTCGTTTTACTCGTGAAACGAGTCTCTCCTCCTTCTCTTTTTTTTCTTCTTCTTCTTCTTCTTCTTTCCATGATTTTTCATTCTGGTACAGAGGTGCTCAATCCTTCGCAAAGAATAACGTTTAAATAATTCGTCTCACGTAATATAACAATTATGAATATTATTATACATTTGATAGACAAGAAAAACAAAAAAAAAAGATTCTAATCATTCGTTCTCATATTATTATTCTTTGATTTCTCCACGTATGTCTACGAATTAGATTTTAATTGCAATACTAGTATTACGTAAATCGCGTTAGAAATATCACATATACATATTAAATATTAATGCTCATCGAGGATAGACAGACTAGATCTATATAGGATGGATAGAAAAAAAAAAAAGAAACAAACAAAGAAACAAACGCGTACGTAGAATAAAAAATCCTTCATGAAGTTTTCTCCAACAGTTATTTTAACTCAACGTTCTCGATTCTTCATTATTTCCTCATTCCATCAATTCGTACGTTTTCTATGCGTGTCACATCGATCCGAGAGAATTGCATAACCGTGATTCTTTTAAGTACGTCTGCACTTTCGCGATTTCAAGCTAATGCAAGAAGGTCTCTTGGTACGATGATCGTCGTTGCGTGGTACGATGATGATACGATACACGTATTATACTATATACACATATATATATATATATATACATTCGTAATACGTATGTGCGTGTCTGAGGTTCTGTATATTATTATAACGCAACAGTCATCATCGATTTTAATCGGAATAGGAACTCGACGATTGGTACAAGGAAAAGAAACAAGCTGTGGGAGGAGGAATCACGGTTAATAAGTAGACGAGGTAAGGGGGAAGAGGAATAGAAGGTGAAAGGATGTTAAATATCTAACGGTGGACTCCCCCGTTAAAAGCAAAGAACGCCTAGACGCTTGACAGACTACTCTTGTACTTTGCACAATAGTAGGAAGCGCTAAAAATAATCCGACTCTGCTCCGCGACGTTCTGGCCTTGGCCAGCCTCGGCTTCTTGCAATCTGGTAGTACCACCACTCCTCTCCTCTCCTTTCCTTTCCTTCTTCTTCTTTCTTTCTCAACTTACCCTCCTCTTCTCTCCACTCTGCCTGGCCCTGCTTTTGCCCCTGCCCTCCTCGGCACGAAGAATGCCCACCCACATATGCAAGGCACCGTTCTGTGTTCCCCTACGATTTATTTTATTTTATTTTGCTTTTTTTTTCCCCACCCCCATCTCCCTCTTCAATCCTTCTTCTTCTTCTGCTTCTTTTTATTATTAATTAGTATTTTTCTTCTTTTTTCTTATTCCTATTTTAGAAAATTTCGTTGAGTTATTTTGTTTGTCCTTATAATGTTTCTCGTTTTTGTATATTTTTTTTTCTTTTGATTGGGAAAAATACAGTCAAGTCTTTAAGATTGAATTTAAGAGTAATTTGGTTTTATTAGTAGCGTTCAGAAAGACGAGGAAACAAATTAGAATTTGACGAACGAACGATATCTCGCAAATAAGTTTGACAGACGACAAGTTTGGTTCGTAGTAAAAAGTAAAGTACGAATTAACACTTGTTTCTTATTTGTATTTATATATATTAATATTTCGTATTTAATATATCATAAATAATTGTGATACGAATTTATGTATCCTATTATCTATTATGAATTGTTCTTACGAACAAAAAATTTACTCTTTTTATTTAATAATAATATATTTTATATATAAATTACGTACACACACACACACACGATATTCTAACGTAGATAAAATTACCTATCCGATTGTCCGTTATGATTTGTTCTTACGAACAAAAAATTTATTGTTTATATATATATATATAGATATAAATATCGTTAGAAATTCGTAAAAGGGAAAACAAAAAAGTACCTAACTGACGCTTGTGTTTATAGGAATAAAAAAAAATAAAAAAGTTTGTATTATATTTTCCGACCGTAGTTATCTGATTGACGATGAATTATACTCGGAAAAAAAAAGTTCAATACTAGAGATGAAACGATTCGCGTTCGGGCTCTCACGAGTTAGAGAAGATGAACGTGATGGTGGTGGTGGTGATGGTGGTGGTGGTGGTGGTGGCTTGGGGAAGATAAACTAGGAGTCTCGTTAAGATCGACGATACGACGATTTCGACGACAGCAAGGACTCGTCGTTGAAGAGCGATCGTTAAGGACGCTTTTAACGAGGAGAACCATGCAGAACCCAGGACAATGGAGGACAACCATGACGACAACGACAACGACGACAACGAAGAAGACGACGACGTTCGTCTAACTTCCTTTCCTTCCTCGACTACGATGACTATGACGATGCCATGTTTCTGGCCTCTTTAATCGTGCAAACGACGCATTCTACTTTTGCATCTATTATTATCTCTCTCTTTTTTTTCTTCTTCTCTCTTTTCCACTAACACTTATTATTAAACTTCGAATTTTCGATAAATAAGTATTTATCATTTCATTTTTTTCTATTGAACAATTTGATATTTCTATATAGAATGTTCTATCGAAAATATGGTTTGCATTTTCAATCTACAAATAAACCCGTATTTGCTATACGTCTGTATAACACTACCACTATAACAGAATATGCTCTATGTATATAATTTAAATGTATATAATAATCTCTGACAAAAAAAGAAGGAACAAAAAAGAAAATACGAATTAAAAAGTATAATATTATAAAATACCGTACGCGCACACATTTGAACGAACAAAAACAGGAAACGATAATCGACACTTTTTAAAATTACCATTATATTTCCGGTCGTAATCAAAATTTTGCTGATCATTAAATCTCAAAACGGAATCATATTTTACAGATATTTCGTTATAGATATTACGCACGAATCGTGTTTAATTGTAAGATAAAATTATATTGTAAGAAATAGGTGTTAAACATACAAGAATAATACTTGCAATTATTTTCCTGTTAGCTGTCCTTTTTTCTTTTTATGTCACATCAAACTTAATAAACTGTTAAGCTTGTAGATGAAACCTGTATAAAAAAAAAAAAAAAGAAAGGACAGAAAATAATTCGAAATTATAGCAGAGATCACGTCATATACGAGATTAAGAGTAATAACGAGAATGATGACGACGACTACGACTACGACGACGATGATGATGATGATGATGATGAAGATGAAGACGAATAAAAGAGAAAAGAAAAGAAAAAGAAAAAAAATAAAGAAGAAGAAGACTCGTCCTTGGCCCGTTAGGTCTTCGTCATTTCTTCGGGAGAAATGTTCCTGGGCTGAAAAGGTTAGCCTCGAAATCAGCTACGCGTGCAACAGTACTAACCATCATCTCGTTTCTCTTGCTTCGTTATCCACATTCTCCTTCATTTTCTTCTTCTTCTTCTTCTTCTTCTTCTTCTTCTTTCATTCAACAACCCAGGTTATGCGAACCTCGTAGCATCGGATGGATGGCGTCGGCGTTTAACGGTACCGGGAATCAATTAGTGTCGCGACCATCATCCTACTCTTCTTCTTCTTCTTCTTCTTCTTTCATTTTGTTTTATTTATTTCTTTATTAATATTATTATTATTTGTATTTTATAATTCGATTCATATTTTTTATATTTCTCATTTCTATCAAATTTGTATATATACTTTACCTGAACATTTCGTGAACAATTTGAATTATACGTAATATTTTATTGAATGAGATAAATGAAATTTTTATAAATATTTCTCTATATATTTTATAAATTTATTTAATGATTCGAAATTTGGTTGCCAAGTAATGTAGAACAAATATTTATCATATAGTATTAACTTGTATAAACATATATATGCATATTCATATGTTTACCCGACGATGCGTAGAATACGTATTATCTATGCATATATATATATATAGTCTTTCTTTTTTCCCTTTCTCTTCCTCTTAACTTCCCTCCCGCCCTTTATTTCCCCTACTCCCTATCTTTCTCTTTGGATCGTTCAATGCTCTTCTCCTCCTCCTACTTCACGCTGGCTTTCCTATCTAGGTCACAGGACAAAGAGTACACCGACTAGGTCTGGCTAGACTAAAAAGAGACAAGAATGACGTAGAGAAGAGTGAATCGACTCTGGTATTATCGAAGAATTTTCCACGTTTGATACATCTTCTTCCATCCAACGACTTTCCCTCTTTATTCTCTTTACTTTTTAATCTATTCAACCAACAATGTATATCAAACTTTATATATATATATAAATATATGTATTCTTCTCCCTAAAATAGTTTCCAATAAGTAAGCCAAATCTGATATATACTGCTGCTGCTACTGCTGCTTGTTACTAATCAAAAATTAGAGATAAAAGAAATAATACTTTTCTGTAAAAAAGAAAAAAAGTATTTTATCGAATAAGAACAAAACAACAATAACAATAAAATAATAAAAGATCATTTTATTTCGTATCGAACGTTTTAAAACGTGAGTTCGCATTATAGAATTTTACGAGGCCACGTGTTTGACACCACTGCCCTACACCATCTCTACTACTACTACTATTACTACTACTACTACTACTACAGTTACTATCAACCAAACCAACTTACTCTTACCTCATTCTTTTTCCTTCCTCCTCTTCTTCTTATTCTTATTCTTATTCTCTTGAATTAATTCACGAATAAAATTAGACGAAGTTAAAAGGAGCAACGAATGATTAGGGGTAGGAATGAAATAAAGGTCTATAACAGAAGTTAAGGAGTGAATGGTCCCTTACCTGGAATAAAGTGAAAACCAAGGCAAAATCCGGTTTCCAATTCGGTCGGATTCCATTCTGCCCTTCGCGTACGTGGATGGCCACGTCGTCGACGACTCGGGTCAAACACGTGTCTATCCCCCTCCCAACCCCACCCCATGCCCCTGTTCCTCTTCTTCACCCTCTCCCTCTCCCTCTCCCTCTCCCTCTCCCTGCTCGTCTCCTCATAGGCGTGGAAACCTTTTGGTGAGTCCTTCATCGCCCCATCCCGGCCCGTCCCGTCCCGACTCGTCTCGTCTCGTCTCGTTTCGTCTCGTCTCGTCTCGTCTCCTCTCCTCTCCTCTCCTCTCCCGTCTCTCGTTCACGTTCGAACGTTGAAAATCCGTTTAAAGATCGCGCCGCTTTAATCTCCTACGAAGCCGAGCGACCCGTCAATAATACAGATAAGCGTATTAAAAGTGACTCGACGCGTTCACCCGAGCCGTGGAAATCCCTTAGATTCAGTCTTTCGATGATACTTTTTTTTTTTCCTCCCCGCTCTTCTTTTTGTCTTTTCCTCCCATTCCTATTTTTTTTTCTTCTTCTTCTTCTTTTTCCTTTTCCTTTGCCCTTTTCGTTTTTTTTCCTAATTTTGTATTTTTCTTCTTTCTTTTCTTCTTACCCTCTCTTATTTTTTTATTTCATTTCTTATTTCACTTCATTTTTTTGTAACCCGACGAATACCTTTATCCCTCCCCCCCCAATCCACGGATTAGGGGGCTGCTCTTTTTCTTTCTCACCCTCCGTTCCGTTTTCCTTGCCGCTTAACTTAAGACTATCTCACAAATCGTGGAAGAGAAAGAAACAAAAAAAGAAGAAAAAAAAAAAAGATGTGTGTAGTCCGTTATATTTATTACTTTTTTTTCTTTTTTTTTTTTTGCCTTTAATAGCCGTAAATTTTTCTTTTAGATCCCCCTCCCCACCCCACTCCGAATTCCCTTTTGCACATTTTCTACTCGCGTACACCCCTCATGACAAAACCAGGGTGTATGTTGTGTTGCAAGGATAAAACAGCAACAATGGTATCTTTTTCAAACGAGATGGACATATGTATTTTGAACATGGGTGGGGTGATGTGGGCCGGCAGAAAGAGAGACGGAGGGAGGGAGGTACGTAGGTAGGTAGAGGTAGAGGTATCAAAGGTCGCACCTGCGACATTTGCGACGCTGAACGCGACGACGTCCACCTGTCGAACGTTAAATTTACGGGCGATAGGGAAGAATTTCAAATGCGTCTCAAAGAGACACGTACAGAATTCTATATAGAAAAGGAAAAATATATATATAATAATCAAATAAATAAATATTTATATATATTTATTTAGCATTTTTTTTTCATTTAATGTAATAAACATTTTATATATATATATACAGTATATATACATACATATGTATATACACATATATATATATATATATATATATATACAGGTATACGAGAAACTGATGATGAGCTTAATAACATTTACAATAATATTCCATGAAACGACATAAAAAAAAAAGATGAAAATGAAAAGGAAAAAAGGGAAAGGATAAAGGGAAATTTGTCTTCTTTTTTTTTTATCTCTCGTTTCGTTTCTATCGATACCACGAGTTACGAGTTAAAGAAAATTCGAAGAGAGGGAACCTCCTCCTCCTCCTCCTCGTCGTCGTCGTCGTCGTCGTCGTCGTCGTCCTCTTCGTCCTTGATGGGTCATTTCAACGTTGGAAAGGGCTCCGACTGCTTTCGCTCGTTCGTTCGTTCGTTCGCCCTTTTCTACCCATGCTGCATGCGATCCTCGGATGCAGGCATGCAAGAGGCTTAAACTGCACGTACAAAGACACACGCTTCTACGGTCTGTCTGTGTGTCTATGTCTCTCTCTCTCTCTCTCTCTCTCTCTTTCTTTCCTTCCCTCAATGTATGTATGTATGTATGCGTGCAGGACTCGGTGTAAGGGAGTCGCTCGCAAGTGGGTTTGGGGCCCGTCGCGTGTTTTTGTCCCCCGTCTGGCCCCCACCGTAGCTCATCGTTTTTTGTCTGGTGCGCTGCATGCGCTGCACCATCGTAACTCCTCTCTCTCTCTCTTTCTCTCTTTTTCTTTCTCTCTTTCTCTTATATTCTCCTTCTTTCCCTCTCTTTTTTATTCTCCATCTTTCGTATTCTTTCTCCCTCGCTTTCTGTCCCTCTCTCTCTCTCTCTCTCTTATTTTCTCTTGCTATTTCTTTTTCGTTTCATCGTCATCGTCGTCATCGTTATCGTCATCGTCGTCATCGTCGTCCTGCAAGAGTCCACTCGCACTGTCGGTCCAGTACATGCGCGTGCACGTGCGTGTGCAATGGGAGGAGGAGGAGGAAGAGGAGGAGAAGAAGATTCGTTCGTTGGAAGCCACCAGTCTCGGTTATGACCTCAGAAAAAGGAGGATGAGGATGAGAAAGAGGAGGAGAAGGAGGAGGAGGATATACCGGGAGAAAAGAAGTCCACGGAAGAAGAAGAAGAAGAAGAAGAAGAAGATCCTCTCGCGAGTATATTCAATGCACCTGCCGTGTTCGTTCATTCTTACGTTTCTTACATGTTCTCTTTAATGACTAACAAGTATAATTAATATAAAAAAAACCAAAATATCTATACGCATTATACGATCGTAATCAAGGAAGGAAAAACTGGGAGGGTGGATGGAAGGAAAAGATATTTAAAAAAAAAAAAAGAAGGGTGGGGGTGGGATTTTAGAAGAAAAGAAATGAGATTTAACGACACAGAAAAGAAACGAGAAAGTTTAAGGTTGTTTGAACGGGGTGGTAGTGAAAGTAAAGAAGATTCGATCGTAAGAAAAATGGGTGGAGGGTGGGAGAGTGGGAGGAGGAGAAAAGCAGAGCTAATCGAAATATATTTTACAAAAGGTATGGGATGTTTTACTCTCTCTCTCTCTCCCTTTTTTCCCTAATGTCCTTTCTTTTTTTCTCTTTTTTTTTTCTTTCATACGTTCAACGTAAAAGAGAACGACAACGACAACGACAACGTCAACGTCAACGTCAACGACGTGGACACGAGGACTATGGCAGCAGACATCCTAAACGGTCCGTCAAATATTGACACGCAAAATGTTTGCGGACTTAGACGCCGGCCGGCTGTTCCTTCTCGCACAAAAGCTGACCAAAAGCAAACCTTCCTTCTTCCTCCACCTCCTTATTTTCCTTCTCTTCTTCATCTACTTCTACTTCTAACTTTTACTACGACTTCGAGACTTAGACTTCGACTTTTTCAACCTTCTTCTCTCATTTTTATCTTACACCTTTTTTTCTTCTTCTTTTACTTCTACTTCTACTTTTACTTTTACTTTTATACTTTTACTTCTTTTTCTTCTTTTTCTTCATCATTTTTACCTTCCATTCGTTCTCGAAATCACTCGCGAAGTATAAAGTACGTAGGGTGAAGCAAACCCTTTGTATGTGTGTATGTGTGCGTGTGTGTGCAGGTTTCTCCTGCACTTTGGCAGTTCAAACACGTCTTACTTCGGGGCGTGGTCGCTAATAATTCTAATAACGAATACTTCGATAGCGTACCAACCACCTCGGTTAAGAAAACGAGGAATTATTTTTCACCAAGAGCTCGAGAATTTTCTTACATTTACTCGATCGTTTCTCTCCCTTTCCCTTTCCCTTTCATCTCACCCCAACCCACACACACACACACACACACACGTATATACATACGTGGCACATAAAAGCGTTCTTTTCTTCGTTAGAAGAGAGACCGTGTTTCATTTTCCCTTTTTTATTTCTTTTTTTCTTTTTTTTCCCAAGCCTTTCGAAGGGGAAGAGGACGACGAAACTGTCTGCGTGATGCCTACTACGTTCGAGTGTGTGTTTCAAAGAGAGAAAAAGAGAAAGAGAGAGAGAGAGAGAGAGAGAGAGAGATAGAAAGATAGATAGAGGACGTTTAACGAGCGGTGGGTGACGAGCCGCGTTCAAACCGTTGAACTGGCGATGATGAACGTTGATAAGGTTTTATAGTCGTGTCTCATCCTGTCCCAACCAATCGCGATCACAGAATCGTCCTCGTACACACTCCGAGCATCCTCGACAAACTCACCTCGACAAATGTCCATTGTCCAAACTCTCTCTCTCTCTCTCTCTCTAGCAATTCCAAATCTTTTACTTTTATTTCTTGTTCACCGATAAAAAACAAAAAATCCAAAAAACAAACAACAACAAATTTTCTAGTCTCCTCCGTGGCTACTACTTCCCCCTTGCCCCTTCACCTCTCGTCAAGTTCTCCTTTCGTTTTGTGTTTCTTTTTTTTTTTTTTCCCCCATAATACTACGGTGACTCATACATTGTCCGAGGACAAGAATGAACTCATCCGAATATGTTTTTCTCATCTATCTCACGTAGATTAATTAAATTTCGAAGGTGAAAGTATATGACTAAAACTGTAAATTGTTAAAACTGGAGGCCTCGTATGGTCGTATAAACGCTTCCTGAATTTGATGTTACTACCTGGAGAAGCAGAAGCAGCAGCTAGTTAATGAGCTACCTTATTTATGACAGCTAACTGGTTGAAAGGTTCCTCGAGTGAGTCCCAATCAAGCAAACCCCCACCTCTCTTTTTTATTTTTATTTGCATTTACTCTCTCTCTCTCTCTCTCTCTCTCTCCCTCTCTCTTTGTTTTTTTTTTCTTTTTTTTTCTTTTTTTTCGGGCACACGTCTATAAGCTCGAATTTCATTACGTTTTTTTTTTTACTAACTTTTGATGTATGACACAGATAGAGATAGAGATTAGCAGAGGAATTAGATTCGCGTAAAAGTTCGTTCCTTATATTTCATCTAAGTTTTTCGAGATGAAAGATAATTTAGAATAAATATTTTCAATTGTGCGCAAGGGTGTTGTTCAAGTTCAAATACGAAATATCGAGAATATTCGAGTACGAATGTGTTCGACACATTAAAGGATTTTATAAACGTACATTGAAAATTTCATCGATCTTTATAAGTAATAAGATTTATGTAAAAATTATGAACGCGATCAGACACCCTGTATATAAAGTAAAACGAGTTAACGCGTTTATTTATTGTAAGCGACGTACTTAAAAATAAACAATAAAGTCAGATGTTATGCTTACTTATTGCTTATCGTTGATATTACTTTGGCCTACGCGTAATTTGTTTTGTAAGTCGCCATTCCGATGGGCATTTAGTCAGTTTACATTTAGACGTCTAACGATTACAAGCTACAAAAGAATTATCCTCGTTTTTAAATAAATATCTCTAAATTATATTCAAATTAAGAATATAGAAAAATATATTTTCAATTATATTTGTTCGTGATCTTGATCGAAAACGTAATTATTCGTTCGACAAATATTTAACAATTATTAATAGGTATTATATATATATATATATTGTGTATAATTAAATTCATTTGATCGAATCGAAAATCGAATATGCGAATTAATCGAGAATCGAATAAGAAAGAGGGAGAAAAGAGAGGAAGAGGGGGGGAAAAAAAAAAGAAAACAAATCGTTAATTGGGATCCGAATGCAATGCTGAGAAGACAAAATTTTCCGTCGTTGCAAAATAGATTTGCGTTATTTCGTATCGGTTCTCGAGATGTTGTACGACGAAATAAAAAGAAGAAAAAAAAAATAAATAAATACGATTGGCTAGCCAATAAACCACGGTTTCCGCAATATTCGCCAACGCGTGGAACATTCAACACGTGTGCGCGTTCCATCAATTATTCATTTAATTCATTTTATTTGATTAGTATTTTTCTTTTTTCTTTTTATTTTTTCGTTATTTTAACAAACGATCGCATATTTAATTGGTAGTCGTCGATTTAACTTGACGTTGACATTAAACGCGAAAAACAAAACTCATCATCATTATCATCATCATCATCATTATCATTATCTATTGGCGAAACGTTGCACGAAAATATTAAACACACTGATTAATTCGTGTTAATGTACGATCGATAGTGAATCGATCGAACAGAAATATGAGAGAAAGGTGAGAAAATGTTGTTCCTTTATTGCTAAAGGTATTGTCATTCTTGTCAAATTTTTTTTAGTGAGTACGAGCAATTACGTAGTGTCAGCGGTGCTCGTTTTGATAGTTGGTGCGGTGTTAACGATATTGGCAACGGTATCGCATCATCTTCATCATCGTCGGCTCGAACCATTAAACGAGTCGAATTCTGCTTCGATTTTGCATCACCATCAACACCTTCATCATCATCATCATCATCTTCATCATCATCATCATCATCACCATCAACATCATCAGCCACAACCACAACAACAGCAACAACAATTGCAACAATTGCAACAGCAACATCGACGTCGTCATCAAGAAGATCGTGAAAATCCCGCGCCGGTGTTGCATCAGCAACATTCCTTGCTGCAGGATCATCACTTTCATCCTGGAACGCAAGTGAGTTTATAATATTCCTTGTGATTTTTCTTTTTTTCTTAATTATTTGCCAACGTCTTTCTTTGTTTATAATTTTCCTTTGTCCGTTTGATTCGTCATCGGATGCACCCGATGCATCATCAGTCGTTGTTTTTTCTTTCTTCTTTCTATTTTTTGTTGTTCCCCTTTTTATTGATGATCAAAGAGAACATTCATTCGTTATATTTCATTATATATATATATGTCGGTGATTAACCTTGCCATTGTTACTATCTAGTATCCCTAGATAAATAATAATATTTTTCTTGTCTGGAGGCTTAAATACTGGAGGTACACGACGTCGTTGACCTTCGACAAGATTATTACGCTATTCGCAGAACTCCGAAGGCTGTCTGTAAAAAATTCTCGCTGATATCTAATCTCCGTTTCTTTTTTTCTCTTTCTTTCTCTCTCTCTCTGTCTCTCTCTTTCTTTATTTAATACTATCGTACATAGACTGACTAACATAAGATGACGGTGTGCAACTGCAAATATCTTCAAGGGGATTTTTTTCATTCTTTCAACAGAACGGAGACTGGTAAACGAGGTCACGATTGGCACGCGCCCATCGTTTTCTTTTCTTTCATTTCTTTTTTCTTCAGCCTATTTCTCTCTCTCTCTCTCTCTATCTACTAAGTATATACTTATCTATTCATCTATTTATCTATATGTTTGTCAGGCCTTTCACCGAGAAACTTAGTCTCGCTTTCCTCTTTTCCCTGTCGTCGGAGATCACGAGAAACATGCAAGTGGAACCCAACATATTACTGTGTATGTGTGTGTGTGTTGTTCAACGATTACCCGTTAGCCCCTCGAAAAATGGTCACGTGCGACTTTAACACGCGTCACCGGATTCAAATGATCAAAGTCGGTTCGAACATTTTTATTTCTTACCCCTTTTTTTCGTAACATCCGGCCCGAATGAACAATTGTCCTTAATATAAATGTCGTTGCGTTTCAACGTGAGATTTATAAAAAGAAACAAACAAAAAAATTCATTTTATATATTTCCCGATCAATGATAATAATCATTTCTTACGTGTTAATATATAATTAAAACATTTCTGTAATATCAATTTATTTTTATAATTATTGTCACGGAGTTTTCGTTTTTAGAGGTTTAGACATTTAATCGTAATACTTGGAATAGAAACGATAAGACATCTCGTATTTGAGATGTAGGAAAATCTAAACGTTGATCTAAACGTGGCCTCAGTCAGCCTCTCCATCTCTCTCTTTCTCTTTCTCTCTCTTATTCGTCAGTTTGGAAACTTGGAAGTTAGTAGGAACGTTGGTACGCCAAAGTCAAGAGGTTTCCTCATCCAGTTGGTCCTACCCACTACCGTTACCAATGAACACACTACCCCCTTTACTTCCTCTTCTTCTTCTTCTTCTTCTTCTTCTCCTCCTATTCCTCTTCATCTCGTCAGTGGTACGCGAACTATTGTTATTGTAGATTGCTTCGCAAATTAGATTACACGGAGCCCAACCTCCAAACTTGTTTCGCCATGGCAAATAGACGTTGGTGGTGTTGGTTATACGTACGGTTTAAACCATCTACGATGTCTCTAAACTACCACGGAGTTCGAGCTTGGAGACTCTAGGACAAAAAAAAAAACAACCGTGATATTACGACTTCGAACTTACGATCATTTTGTCTCCCCCTTTTTCCGAGATTTTTCTCTATCCCGCGAATTGTATTGTTATCAGGTAATGCACGAGAAAAGAAAATTATTAATTTTTTGTTGTTTCTTCCTTTCTGACTGTACAGTCAATCATACTTCAAAGTAACAGGATAAATGAAAATCGATGAAAATTAATTAGTACGTTCAATCAAAATGTTTAATTTGTTTAATTATAAAATCAAGAACGAGAAGATTATTGTACTTATATAATATCGTAAATGTATACGAAAACAAATTTTAACTAATTTTATTTTTAATCTGACTTATACTACTTAAAGTTTCTCTCTTATTCTTTCTATCTATTTATCTTTATCTCTATCTCTCTCTTTGTTGTCTGTCGATCACGAATCAAACGGAAGAAGGATTCGATCGTTACGAGAATACAGAGGAAGAGAAAATAGGAAAGGAAACTAACGATAGAGTAATGGAAGAATGGTTTGGCTTCTAAAATTTGCCATAATTCAGGATTTATTCACGAGGGATTATCTCCTACTTCTGTGCACGCTGTTTATTAATTCATCATACTAACCGGACGAGGTCGGTCGTACCTATAAATGGGCGAATACTTGATAGTCACCGTCGATGCCGCGTAAAAACTTAATACACCAAACCGTAAAATAATACTCTGCGAACTAGAAATGATTTCATCCCTCGAGAACCCTCCTCAACCTGCCTCCCCAACCTGCCTCCCACCAATCCCCCTAATCGCACAGAGTAAAAGATACGTGCAACGAGTTATGTCGTTTAATCAAATTTTCAAATCAACTCTAACGAAAAATTAATTACTATTGCTAATTCGAAAACATTTTTTTCGTAAAAAAACGCCAACGAAATTTTTCTATATATCTCAAACACTTTTTTTTTTTCTTTCGATCCTTCGATACTTTTATTTCTTTCATTTTGTTTTTTGTTTTTTCTTTTTTTACAATAAGTAAGAACACGTAAACACTTGTTAGATTATTCAATTATAAAAAGACCACGGGAAAGTATAGTAACATATTATATTCCATTGATAATCGTTATCTCCTTTTTTCTTCCTTTTTTTTTTTTATTCTTCACGTTATTAAATATTTTCTACGATAGCATGATAATACTTTTTAATAGATCTATCTATTATCTGAAACTTTACTGTACTTAGAATTTCACGTAAAATATCGAAACAGATTTTATATTTTACGCCACGAATCATCCGATATCTTTTTTTATATTATAAAAATTACGAGGGAGGGTGAGGGATAGGTAGGGTCAAATTACAAACAGCTGATCGTAATATCCTCCCTTCTATCATTTTACTTTTCAATCTTATATTTTTTTTCTCTCTCTCTCTTCGTAACCTAGAATTCCATTCACAAAATCTTGTGAATTTCATCCTTCTTGTCCTTGTTTACCTTTTTTTTCTCTCTCTCTCTCTCTCTCTCTTTCTCTCTCTTTCTCTTTTTCTCGTATAGAATTCTATCAACGTGGTTGGTTTCTCTCGGGCATCGTTTTTTTCACGAGAAAAATTTTTCCTCGATATTCTCGAACGTACGATATTTATTTTCTTCTTTCTTTCTTCACCACCACCCCACCCCATCTCCTTTTGCCACCCTCCCCCCCCCCATACCCCACTTTTCTCCCTTTTTTCTTCCGTAGCTCCTTGCTTTCTGGTTTTCCTCGTTCGATATTTCGAACAAGCCCGAAATTGTTGACATCGAAAGTCCCGAAGGTATATTTCTCGAGGTTTCTTACGAATCGTAGGGTAAAAGCAACGGTCCGATTTGAAATTTATTATGTTTGGATCCTGTCCAACTACAATCATAGCAGAGAATACGTGGGTGTGGGTATGGGTGTAGGTTGATGTATGTGTGCGTGTGTGTGTAGTCCACGGTTTGGCAAATTCACGAGAACTTTGATCGGTCTAAGGAGAAAAGGGGGTAGAAAGAATAGAAAGAAAGTAGCAACACGGGAATAAGAAGATCCGTGAGAATCGATAAGAGATAATAATATAATAAAATAAAGTAAGGGAGAATAAAAGAAATAGAAGAAAGAAAAAAAAAGATTTGAGCTCGTTGTAAGACTTTAAAAATGAATCGCACGTTTGTTCTTCTAGGATTTTCGGTATAATGAAAATATATTTAAGAATATTGCGTTAATGTTTAACGATTGATATGTGAATTTGATTAATTATTAAGGAAGAATAGTTTATCTTCTTGGAAAACTATAATTTTATTCTTATTACGTATTATTATTAAATTGATCTCTCTCGAAGTAGTAATATTTGTATCCAAGCAAGATATATATTGTTAAAAATATAATATTATTACTTTTGTAAGAGTTGTACTTTATTGTTTAATTGATTTCTTCTTTCGTTGGACGAATATTATTTTTTATCGGTTATACTAAATTTTATTTCTCTCGTATCTTTTTCTGTAATACAATTCATATCGATTTGAAATATTTAATACAATTCTCAAGTATAAGAATTTTATTAGATATCAAAAAATGAGCCTCAAAAAATATACATTTAATTCGTTACAATTAAAGAAACCCATACTAATTAAAAAAAAATTCATTATTGCGAATATATTATGTAAATAACATTTGCGATGTAGTAAACTCTTAAGAATACTTTTTTTTTATCTACGAACCTATCAGAAATCAAAAAATAATCTTTAATATACCGTACACTTTAATCACAAAATGACCAAAGTTGAAAATAACTTTGTTACTTAACGTAAGATTAAAAAGAAAAAAGTGATTGTTGAAGTTTCTTTTAGAAAAGAAAAAAAAAAAAACAGAGTAAAAAGAGTAAAAAGGTGTTGCGTTTTCGCAACTAGGTGTTGTTTCTCTATGTTGCGCATATAGTATAGTCTACATATTGCGTTTGTATCGTCTAGACGGTGTATATTTCCGGAAAAAGCAATAAAGGCGAACCGTTCGTAGCATAAAAGGCGACGGACTCAAGCTATCGAGACATTTACGTTACATACAGAGACGAGTATATATCCCTATGACGTCATCAGTTCTCTTTTTCTTCCGGACAAGTATACGTATACGTATACACAAACACATACAAACATAAACATATATATCCATAGATTCTTTGTAGAGTAACGATATACACACATAAGAGGGAAGTGTTTCAAAACTCGTTAACCTGGACAACAAGCACTTTCAATACTGTAAAACAAGAATTGCTAAAGGCTTCACAACAGTCTGAGAATGGTTCAGACGTTCTACATTCGTCAAATAGATCCTAATACGGTTCTTAACTAATAAAGGAACTCGCAAAAGAGTAAGTAGTATTATTAACCCTTA